GATAACCACTTAAAGGAACACTTAATTAATAAAAGAGAGACGTCCATCAGTTCTTTAGATATTTCACTTAAGTCTATACTTAGCGCGTCGCTTTGAAAAGCAGTCAAACGTAGTAATATAAAAGTTGATTATAGCCTCGTTTATTGGCCAAGGCGGCTGTTAGGCCAAGTAAAAAGGGGAATTATTATAATTTACCTTATGTAAATCTATGGCATTTCCGGAGATTGTAATTATTGCCACAGCAGTTTCTCAATGTCGGATTTGGAAATTTAATATTATATTCAGAGTGAGGCTAAGGACATGACAGAAGTTGAAATCCGAAAGGAACGAGATTAATCATTCCAATATTACGTTTAATGATTAGGGAGACACTGACAATTCCAATGTTCCTCATTATACAGCGAATTCTAAAATGAATTCCACGCGTAAGGGATCAGATTCTGTGAGTGACTGGGTAATTCGAACAGTCTCAAATCAATCTGATATATGGCCTGATGTTAAAAACCGTATCGACCCCACTAAATATTTATTCAGTTTCATAAAATACAAAAAAATAAATAAATAAATAAAATATTAAGCAAATTGCATGTGACACATTTTTATACTGACTTTTACCCAATAAAAGGCCCAAGAGCCACTCAAAGTAGATGACTACTGTGCGATGTTGTATGATCATAATAATGAGCAGGAAAGTTCATGGGACTATGTAGGAAAGATAATGGTTAACCCTTGGTGGAATAGACTCCCAAGATGATGCTTCTCTGTTGAAAACAAGTTTAGTTAACCTATATGCTCCTTACCTCATTCCCCATCTACGTCCATAAAACGCTCATTCAGAAAACCTCTACATTTATGGGCTCTTGAGACTTATATTGGTTGAGTAATACTGTAAAAATAGTGCATACATTTTAGTGATAAAATAACAATGTTACAAAAGTCTAATGATATTATCGACAGATCGCGTTTTGACTTCAAAAGTTCGGAGAAGTGTCTACGGATGCGCTTAACGCGTTGAAATTTGAAATACCTCCAAATACAAAAGATAACTACACATTTATTTATAAGCTTCTGTCGCGCAAAGTAAGCCGATATAAGACCGGGAACACCTGTGTACGTGCGAAGTGATTGCGTACTCATTATCCTACTGTCTAGCCTTCGAAATAACTTCCTCAGTACACACACACACACACACACACACACACACACACACACACACACACACACACACACACGCACACGCACACACACACACAGACACACACGCACATACACACACACACACGTTCTTATCTCCTGACGCTCGTAAATGCAGTTCTACGAAGTTCGCATACATTGTGAGTACGGTCTGCTTGTATATGTGACGACATTGAAAATTGTTTGCGCTTCAGATGCGTGTCTTGTAGTTGTCTCTTTCTTTCTCGTGTCAATCTTAGAAACAAATAAAATCTAGAAGGCTAACGAGGTTGTCTCCCTTGAGAGAGCTCTTTAAACATAGTCAATATCAATGATGGACGGCATGGTAAAAAGGAGAAAATACACTTCTCTTTCTACCGTTCCGTTTTTATTTAATTGATTCTTTATTTTGTTTTCTTTCTTTGTTTCTTTCTTTCTTTGTTTCTTTCTTTCTTCCTTCCTTCCTTTCTTTATTTCGTTCTTTCTTTGCTTTCGTTCATTCATTCTATGTTTCTCTCTCTCTTGATTCGTTCATATTTTTCCTTTCTTTTTCCATTTCTATTTTTCTTTCTTTCTTTCTTTCTTTTTTTTCTATCTTTTTCTTTAATTCTTTTTCTTTTTCTTCCTTTTCTTTCGTACTTTCTTTTTTTCATTCTTTTTCCTTTCCTTCTTTCTTTCCTTCTTTCTTTTTCTTTCTTTCGTTCTTTCTCTATCTTTCTTTATTTCCCTTCCATTCTCCCATTTTTTTCGCCTTTCATTCTTTTTACTTATTTATTTGTCTATTTATTCTATATTTCATTCTTTTTCTCATTTTTCCTCTCAAACGCACGCACAGCGCACATTCACAGACACACCACATAGACATGCAAATACTTAATCGCACCTATACATACATAAGTACATATACTCACAGATATTTTATTATACGAACATATGTGAATACATGCATACAGAGATGAACATGATTATTGTCGGCATGACAAATAATCAGTTCTCTCTTTCTCTACTTTCTCTTTTTCTCTCATAGATTCTGTATGCCTTTCTTTTGTTATTTTTTCTTTCTTTTTTCTTTCTTTTATCACATTTCTTTCTTTTTCTTTCTTTCTTTTTATTACATTTCTTTCCTTTTTCTTTCTTTCTTTTTTCTTTCTCTTTATTGCATTGTTTTCTCTTTTCTTTCTTTCTTATTATATTTCTTTATTTTTATTTTTATTTCTTTCTTTCCTTTTTTTATTACATTTTTTCTTTCTTCTTTATTTTTCTTTCTTTATTCTTTGTCTTTCTTTTTATTCTATTTCTTTTTCTTTCTTTCTTTCTTTTTTTCTTTTTCTTTCTTTCTTTCTTTTTCTTTCCTTCTTTTTATTAAATTTCTTTCTTTTTTCTTTTTCTTTCTTTCTTTCTTTCTTTCTTTCTTTTTCTTTCCTTCTTTTTATTACATTTCTTTCTTTCTTCTTTATTTTTCTTCCTTTATTCTTTGTCTTTCATTTTATTCTATTTCGTTTTCTTTCTTTTTTTTCTTTCTTTTTTTTTTTCATTCTTTCTTTTTTTTTTCTTTATTTTATTACATTTTCTTTCTTTTTTTTTTTTCTTTTCTTTTCTTTCTTTTATTTTTTTTTCTCTTTCTTTCTTCTTTATTTTTCTTCCTTTATTCTTTGTCTTTCGTTTTATTCTATTTCGTTTTCTTTCTTTTTCTTTCTTTCTTTTTTCTTTCTTTCTTTCTGTTCCTTTCTTTCTTTTTCTTTCTTTTTTCTTTCTTTAATTCCATTGTATTTATTTAGTTCTTTTTTGTATTATAGTTCTTTCTTTTTCTCTCTGTTTGTCTCTCAAACGCAGAGAAGTTGCCCATTTACGAATACATACCGTCCACCGCACAGATACCTGACACCACACCGTCCCTTACACCAAATAGGTGCAAACTCGTACAACCATCTATAGACACGTACGTTCACAGAAATGTTGTCATACACAAATACGTACATAGATGAACCTACAGAAAGATTAACGATTGCACACACATACAAGGACATACATACAGACGTGTCTTTTTTCTACTGTCGGAGAGATTCAATACAAGATTTGTTTCTGAAACATCTGAAAAAGCCTGGCACAAGTAAAATTCCTCAGGTTTGAATAAAAGGCACAAACATATTTTTAGCCAGATTACCAAACATAGAAACTCTGCCTTCCTTTTTTGTGAAATTTGATTTTGACCTCACACCAAAACTCTTGGGGGGGAATCTTTGAAATTTTTCTGATTTTTGTAAATTTATATTACAGCTGATGCAAGGCTAAGATAGACACTGATCCCTCGAGGCCTAGAAATTTAAATCATATAAAATCTATTTGGAATTTCTACTAGAACTGGAACAGTTATTAAGAAATGTACCTATCGTTTTTGGAGCACTTTTTGCAGAAAAACGAATTATTTTCCCTCAGGGGAATTTGAAGAGAAATAGAAAACTCTCTGATGGCAGATGTGCTAAAACTTCAGTATGGTGTACTGAGAAACCTTTCAGGCAACAGACCTCGTGCGTAAACCGACAGTTATCAGTCATATTAACATTTAATTGAAGATTAAATAAAAAGTTAAGGGGAGATAATCCAGTCTGTAATCTAGAAGGCTAGGAAGAAAAATAATGTATAGAAAAGCATAGAAAGAAGGAAATAAGGCAAGAAAGGAGAAAGCAAAAAAAGATGAGTAAATTAAAAGAAAAGGTAAAGAAAGGAGGATGAAGAAGAAAAGAAGATTGAGAAAGAAAGATGAAAAAGAGAGCAACAAGAAGAAGAAAGATCAGTCGTAGAAGAGGAGGAAAAAGTAGAAGAAAAAAGAAAGACAAAGGAAGAAGAAATGTGAGCGAAAAAAGAAAAGACGAAATGTAAAGTTCTCAATTATAGAAAACGAATAAAAGAAAACAGAAACTAAAAAAAGTGAAAAGAAGATAACAAAGAAAGAAAAATAAGAACAGAAAACGATAGAAAAAGATGGAAAGAAAGAAGAAGAAAAGAAAAAGAAAGCAAACAGATGATAAAAGTTGAAAAGAGAAAAAGAAAAAGTAAAGAAGTTTGGAAAAAAAAGGAAAATACAAAGGAAGAATGAAAAGTAAATATAGAAAAAAAAGGGACGAAATAAAGAAAAAGAGAAGAAGGTAAAAAGATGACTGAGAAAGAAAGAAAGATAGAAAAACGAAAGAAAGATAAGAAAAAAGAAGATAAAAAGAAAAGAAATAAAAAAGAAAGCAATATGAAAAATAAAAAAGAAGACAAACAGAATATAAAACGGGAGAAGAAAATGAAGAAAAGTGAAAAAGAAAAGAAGGAAAAGGCAAAGAAAATAAGGCAAAACAAAGATTAAAGAGAAAGAAGAAAAACGAAAAATATATAGAAAAAAATTAAGGCAAAAAGAAGATAAAATAAAATAAAACTAAATTAAGATCATTTTTGATCTTAATAAAAAACCCAAAAACAAAAGAAGCGAAATAAAAAAGAAACAAGGAAAAAAAAATAAAATAAAAGGGGCAGAAAAGAAGACAGGTAAAAAGAAAGAAAATGAAGAAAGAAATAAAAAAAGTGAAAAAGAAGATGAAAAACGAAAGAAGTAAAAAGAAAAGAAGAGACTGAAAGAAAGTAAATAAAAAAGAAGAGGAAAAAGAAGGAAGGAAATGTCAAAGAAAAATGAAAGAAATACGGTAACGAGACAATGAAAAGGAAAAAAAAAATAAAGTATGTAAAAAAAAATAAAGGCTTCTAGAAAGAAGATGAAAAATAAAGAAAAAGGTAAAGAGAAGAACATTAAAATGAGAGAAGAACAGAAAAGAAAGAGAAAAGAACTAATGCAAAAAGAAGAGGCAAAAGAAGGAAGAGAAAAAAGGTAAGAATAAGAGTAAATTGATGATGAAAAAGAAAGAACGAAAGAAGATAAAGAAAAGAAGATAAAAAGAAGACGACAAAGAAAAATATAGAAAGAAGAACGACAGAAAGAAGAAAAGGAGTAATCTAAGGTTTAGAAGAAAAGCAAGAATATAAATGAAAGTAAAGAAAGAAAAAGAAATTAAGAGATAAAAAGTAAGAAAAGGGGAGAAGAAATGCAAAAGAAAAAAGATAGAGAAAAATGAAGCGTCAAGAGAGCGAGAGAGAAAAGACACAAGCTAAATATTAAAATGAAGAAGAGAAATTAAAAAAAAAACAAAGAAAAACAAGAAAGGTTAAGGAGAAGAATAATAAATGAAGAAGAATAATCGATAATAAAGCAAAATAAAGTAAATTAATTACGATTTCTTGAAGGCAAAGGAATTGTATTTATTTAGCCATCCAACTTTCTTTAGTAAAGCCATAAAAAGGCGGGGAACTGGAGGAAAATGGCGAACACGCTGTCGTTTTGGCGGGATAAGTGTTCCTCTTGGATCGAGCCGAATAAAGGGGAGTTCAGGACGGCCAGAAAACCCCATTTAATTACCAGCCATAAGATGTTTCTTTATTATTAGATTGGTTTTGGTTGTGTGTGTTAGTGTGCGTGTGTGTGTGTGTGTGTTAGTGTGTGTGTGTGTGTGTGTGTGTGTGTTTGCATGCGCACGTGCGTTATTCTCGTTTTTCTAACCAACTTCTCCTTCTCACGTCATACCCATTTACAGATTGAATCATTAGACATGTTTACATATTATTTCGATGTGAACTTTCTGGATTTTCTTCGCTGCAATTTGCTGGCTGCATTAGGTCGATCACAAGATTATTGTTATCCTTCTTTTTCTTTTCAAAGATTTTTTTTTAAAAATTTTATCGTCTGCATAGACGAACACTGCCTCCATACATATTTCTGTTCA